GAGGACAAGCGTCTGTGCCCCAACTCCATACCTTTCTCGGCCACCCCGCACCCCGAGACTCTGGCCGAGAGCCTCTGAGGCCGGGACAACGACTGTGGATGTCCGTGGGGCGGGCGGGTCGCCGGGGGAAACCACGGGGGGCTGTGGTTTCCAGGCTGTGAAAGGATCAGCAGACAACTGTGGGAATTTCTCTGCGTCTTCCCCTCCCAGCAGCCACTGTGACCCCGGCAGCCCGTGCGGAGCTGCTTGAAGACAGCTGGGGCCCCACTGCCCGGGAGTCGGAGGGTTTGAGAACGTTCTCCAAGTGCTGGAGGAGGCGGGTGCATTTGAAGAAGACTCAGCGGACCCTGGAGGGGAGGGAGCAGGTGTCTCCCAACCGCTTAGGAGGGGCCCGGCCTGTGGGTTGGTTGAGGAGGAGAACCCTGCCGTGGCCTGGAGTTGGACCCCCATTCCTCCTTTTTTTTTTTGGATGGAGTCTCGCTCTGTCACCCAGGCTGGAGTTCAGTGGCGCAATCTCGGCTCACTGGGTTCAAGCGATTCTCCTGCCTCAGCCTCCCGAGTAGCTGGGATCACAGGCACGTGCCACCACGCCCAGCTAATTTTTTGTATTTTTAGTAGAGACAGGGTTTTTCTCCATGTTGACCAGGATGGTCTCGATCTCTCGACCTCGTGATCCACCCGCCTCGGCCTCCCAAAGTGCTGGGATTACAGGCTTGAGCCACCGCGCCTGGCTCTCTATTATTTTTGAGATTAAGCCTCTCTCTGTCATCCAGGCTGGAGTGCAGTGGCGCGATCTCAGCTCATGGCACCCTCCGCCTCCTGGGTTCAAGCGATTCTGCTGCCTCAGCCTCCCGAGTAGCTGGGACTACAGGCACGCGCCACCACGCCCACCTAATTCTTGTGCTTTTAGTAGGGACGAGGTTTCTCCATGTTGGCCAGGCTGGTCTAGAACTCCCAGCCTCAGGTGATCTACCCACCATGGCTTCCCAAAGCGCTGGGATGACAGGTGTGAGCTATCGCCTGGCCTCCTCTATCTTTTTAAACACGCGGAGCACACCTGCGGAGCCGTTAAGACACGTGTCTGCCAGTCCCGTCCCTCCCCACGTGTCTGGATCTACTTCTAATGACTGACTTTTTGCGTTTAATTGGAGGGCCATCTCTTCCTTTCCTTTCTCGTGCCCGCTTGCTTTTGACTCGCCCGGATCTCGTGACAGTCTCTGGGGTTTTGTTTGGGGACGTGTTCTCACAGGCAGTTAAGCCACTTACAATCATTTGGATCCAACTGTGGTTGGTTTTTGGCCACGACCACAGCCACTTTTCAGCTTTGTGAGGGTGGGTCCAGAGAAGCCTTCGGTTTTGGGGTAATTTTACCCCCCTAGTAGGTCGATAGCCTTCTGAGGACTCTCCAGTGCCAGCCTCTGCCAAGGTCTCCACCGGGCTGGCGGGAGCATGCGGTATCCCAGCCCGCGTGCACGCCGGAGTTCTTGCCCGTCTTACTCGGTGGTCTGTCCTTGTCTCTGACGTGACTCCTATGTCCCTTTCATGCGTCTCCGGCACTCGGCCAAGGACTCCGGGGACCCCCTGCAGACCCCAGAGAGCTCTGAGCAGTCCTCTCCTCTGCCTCCCAAGCCCTGGCTGCCTGGGCCTCTTCGGATGCCAGTGTCCGTCTCGTCAGCCCGGCAGGCTCCGGGGCTGTGTCCCATTGCCGCACCGGGTCCGGACATGGTCACCGTGGTCTCCCACTGCTTCCCACCCTTCCCCTGGGGACACTGCCCCATGTAACCTCTTGTCCCTCGTCTGTCAACGGCGACCTCAGCAACATTACCAGCTGCCTACCTGTCTGCGGCGAGAGGCCACACTGGGGCCCCAGGACTCCATCTTGGCTAGCTTCGGTGGTCCCGGGTGTGCTGCCGTATGCTGCTGGGCACTGGGCTGAGTTTGGGAAGGTGCGTGGCTGGAGCGGAAACGCACACGAAAATGCACGGAGGGGGAGCTCCTCACCCCACAGAGCAGCTGTGCCCCTCGTGGTCAGAGAGAGCAGAACAGCTGGAGAAACTGAGGGCTCCACCTTCGGCGAGGTCTCTGCTCTTCTGTCTTCGCACCGTCCCGGCCATCAGGAGGAGGCCGGAATTCTGGAGAGCTGGCGGCCACAGGTCAGCCTTCCAGGCACCTGGCATTGGTCTCTCTGAGAGATCTCAGCTTGGAGCTGTGTGGCTACAAATGCCCTGGAGGAGGAAGGGGATGGGACAAGTCCCGGGTGATGACCACTCTACCCTCTGGTCTGCAGTCGCCAGGGCTGCGTGGGGCTGTCCGCCACATGGTGTGTTGGAAACAGATGCTCGGTGCCACAAAGAGAGATCAGCACTGAGACAATGGATCTCTCAGCAACGCAATTTCTACTTTCTGGACTGCAGGAAGGGTACCCTTGTTAGCCATCATGCCACGAGAGTACAATGAACAGAGGAAAACACACACATTTATCCCTCACGCATTTGGGGTCATCCTCACTGCTGAGCGTGAGCTCCGTTAGCTGGAGCCAGACCTCACAATCTATTCTTTAACAAAAAAGGAAACTTTGAAGAGGAACCTTTACTTCCCACGTTGCGTTAGACAGCAGCTTCTGGGAGGCTGCAAGGATCCTGTCTGTCTGAAGTGTTTATGATGAGCTGGTCCTGTGGGTTTTAGTATTCTTCTTTTTTTCTTTTTCTGAGACAGGGTCTCGCTCTGTCGCCCAGGCTGGAGTGCAGTGGCACAATCACGGCTCACTGCAACTGCCACCTCCCGGGCTCCAGTGCCCAGCCTCCCAAGTAGCACACCACCACCCCTGGCTAATTTTTCGATTTTGTGTAGAGATGGGATCTCCCTGTGTTGCCCAGGCTGGTCTCCAACTCTGGCCTCAAGTAACTCTCCTGCCTTGGCCTCCCGAAGTGCTGGGAGGACAGGCGTGAGCCACTGTGCCTGACCTTTCTATTTTTTTAAGCAGATTATTGAAGATACAATTTGCATGGCATACAATTCGCCCACTCAATATACACGGTTCCAGGGGTTTAGTGTATCCAGAGTACAGCAGCCATGACCACAGCCAATTTTAGAGCATTTTTATCACCTCAGAAAGAATCCCTGCCCGCTTTAGGTAGAATCGCTGCAAGGTCGAAGGTCACCGTCTTAGGGCCCTTGACGGACAACCCGGCCACAGCATCCCTCCCCAAGCCCCAGGGACGCCACCTCCCGGCAATGCCGGCTACCTCCGTCTCAGAAGCCTCCGTAAACTGGAACCACCAAATGATTCAAATGATTGCTGGTATTATTTTGCATTTTTGTTCTAAAACGGATTGAACCTCTTTGAGCACAAAGGGTCCTTTCCCTTGTGGTTGTGAGTTGTGAGCTTTGCTGTCGCCTTTATTGGTTGCTTGGTGTACGTGATGGGAGTTCAGCTTCTTGCTGCTGGACGGCAGAGGTGGCATGCGGTGCTTCCTGAGAGGCACCGGGACAGGGTCCATCCACTGCTCCCATGGGCCCCAGCACTGCAGCACCCCCAGGTGACGGGCCGGGGTCGGCAGGGTGCCCAGGACTTGCCCTGATTGGCCCAATGTTAGCCAGTCAATGCACTCTCTCCCCATGGTGCTGACTGGTCCACCCCAGGCCTGACCCAATCGGAGCATTCCTAGGAGGGCCCCTGACTCAGCGGTGCCAGAGACCTCGGCATGCCCCAGCTCTGTGTCCCCGTATGTCCCTGGGTTCTCTCAGCCCTGGTGTCCCCCGAGTCTCTTCTTCACCATCAGCCCTGGTGTCTCCTGTGTCCCCGCCCCGCCCCCATCCCTGGTGTCACTCATCACCCGAACCCTTCACGTCCTGCACTTCTGAAGGCCCCATCTTACGGGCCTCTTGCATGGGACCAGGATGGGGCACATGAAGACCTCTGGGAAGTTTGTTGAGAGGATGGATGAGGAGCAGGGCTGTGAGCAGGAGGGGCCTGGGTCGCCCCTGGGGATGCACCTGGATATGGCCCCAGTGTGCAGAGTCGGCCCCAAAGCAGGCTGGTCCCAGGCATGGTGGGGGAAGGAGGAGCTCTGAGTGGGCCCTGTGTTAAAGGTCAGGGGGCAGGCGGGGATCCCGGGGCTCAGAATGGGAGGAAGTGGGCTGGAGGTCCTGGGGACCAGCGGGCCTGGGAGGGGGTCGGGAGGTGGAGTGGGTGCACCTGCAGGGTCAGTGTCAGCACTGACGGGCTGAGTGAGTCCACGGAGAGCTGGGCTGGGCTCCTGGCGGTACACCTGCACCCCTGCCTGGTCCTCCCTCCGCGGATGAAGCTCAGGTCCCAGGATAATGAGGCACCTGCCGACCAGGGGACCTGCAGGGACAGCCCAGACGTGGACATTGGTGACTTGTAGGAGGACTTGGGTCTCACACGGGAGGTCGGGAGCCGGGCCCCTTCCTGGCCGAGGACACTTGGTGCTGTCCCTCTCAAGGCTGTGTCCTCATCTGACAAGGGGGTTTCATGTGAGCCCCCCACCAAGTGAGTGGGGGAGGGCTGTCCCTCCCCCCATGGATTTGGAGTCTGTAGGAGGGAGACTCCAGTCCTGTCCCCACCCCACTGGCACCTCCCGCCTCTTGGAGGGTGGCCCATGGACATGGGTTCCGCTTTCTGTGTCCCTCTTGGGGAAACGGCTTGTGGGGTGACCTGGGTGTGGCTGTGCCTGAAGGCCTCCTGGCACCAGGACAGGGACAGGGGCTGATCCCACCAGCGGGAAGGTGGTGCATTCCGGTATGGGATCCACAGCTGGCAGGTGGAACTGCACATCTCCAGTGCTCAGCCCTCAGCAGGGCCGGCCTGGCAGCCCCCCACACAGAGGGCATCAGGGTGGCGGGGGCATGTGTCACATGGGGGCCCCGGGTCTGAATCATCCACTTCCCCTGCTGGATGGGAGGGTGCAGCGCCACCCCCCTCCGCCCCGCCCTGGTCTGGAGGGATAAATGGGGAGGGGAGAGCCCGCTGGGTAGAAGGAACAGGGAGCGGCCAGGGTAAGTCCCCACCCTCAGAGACCCTGACATCAGCGTCACCTGCAGCAGAGTGGCCTAGCCTCAGACCCAGAGCGCCGAGACCCAGGCCCGCAGGCCTGGACCCTGGACCCACCCTGGGCCCCCTGTCCCGCTCATTCTGCACCCCACACTCTGCAGCCCCCGGCCCCGCCCCGTCCCCCAGCCGGACTCATGCCGCCCCTTCTTGCTCCTCAGATGCTGAGCCTGGTGGTGCTGGTGCTGCCCGTCCTGGCGAGCCCCGCCCATGCGGCGCCTTGTGAGTCCCAGCTGGGGCCCACCCTGCCCCTCACCATGTCCCAGAGGCCGGGGCCTGGGAGGGTTCTGGGGAAGCCAGGCTGGCCCCCACACAGGGGAGCTCTGGTCCAGGCGTGGGGCTGCTTCCTGGTCCTGAACTGGCTCCTGCCCCAGCCCCAGGCCAGGCACTGCCACGAGCGGGCATTGTGGGGGGGCAGGAGGCCCCCGGGAGCAGGTGGCCATGGCAGGTGAGCCTGAGATTCCACGGGCAGTTCTGGATGCACTTCTGCGGGGGCTCCCTCATCCACCCACAGTGGGTGCTGACCGCAGCGCACTGCCTGGGCCCGTGAGTCTCCCGGGGGCTGGGGGGTGGGCAGGGCTGGGTGTGCCCTGGCCCCCGGGTGCTGCCCAGGGCCTGAGTGGAGCCTCCGCTGCCAGAGACGTCAAGGATCTGGCCGACCTCAGGGTGCAGCTGCGGGAGCAGCACCTCTACTACAAGGACCAGCTGCTGCCGGTCAGCAGGCTCATCGTGCACCCCCAGTTCTACACCGTGCAGACCGGGGCGGACATCGCCCTGCTGGAGCTGGAGGAACCTGTGAACGTCTCCGGCCACCTCCGCACGGTCACCCTGCCCCCTGCCTCGGAGACCTTCCCCGCGGGGACGCCGTGCTGGGTCACTGGCTGGGGCGACGTGAATAATGGCGGTTTGTGTTGGGGACGGTGGGAGGCAGGGCCCGGGTCTCAGCCACAGGCAGCTTCGGGGCTCCCTCTGGGATCCGGGCGGGTGCTGCCGGGCTCCCTCCTGAGGCTGCACCCTCCTCCCTATCCGCAGAGCACCTGCCACCGCCGTTTCCCCTGAAGCAGGTGAAGGTTCCCATTGTGGAGAACCAGGTTTGTGACGCCAAGTACCACACCGGCCTCTACACGGGAGACGCTGTCCACATTGTGCGTGACGACATGCTGTGTGCCGGGAACAGCCGGAGGGACTCCTGCCAGGTGGGCCCCGAGGGTGCCCCCACCCCTCGCACCACAGCCCCCACTTCCGGGCCTGGCCGGCGAGCGCTGACCCCTGACCTTCCCAGGGCGACTCTGGAGGGCCCCTGGTCTGCAAGGTGAATGGCACCTGGCTGCAGGCGGGCGTGGTCAGCTGGGGCGAGGGCTGTGCCCAGCCCAACCGGCCCGGCATCTACACCCGCGTCACCTACTACTTGGACTGGATCCACCAATACATCCCCAAGAAGCCCTGAGCCAGGCCTGCAGGTGGTGACCCAGGTCACTGGAGAGCCTTTCCCTCCTGTGACACCCTAATTTCCTACTCTGCCCACCACACCTGCCCTGCCCTGTCCTGAGTGCCCCTCCCTGTCCTGGGCACCCTGCTCTGTCCCGAGCCCCTTCCCCATCTTGAGCCCCCTCCCCTGGTTGGTTCTGAGCCCAAGCCCGGATACCAGGCCTCCGGTGCCCCCTGCCCAGGTAGCAGGTTGTGGGCGCTGACCCTCCTGAGGCCTGCATCTCATTAAAGTGCATGAAAATCACTGGGTGGGTGTTGCTGTGCTTTTGCTTGTGGGTGTCGCTGGGGCAGGAGGGCTCCAGGTATGCTGAGGAAGCTGCTGGAGCTGTGGGGTCCCAGCCCCCAAGGTGCAGCCAGTCACCGTGGGGCGCAACCTCCTGGGCTGCCCTGGTCCCCGGGGCCAGCTTCTCCCCGCACGATGCCTCCAGCATTCGGGTCACACAGAACCACTCGGGCAACTGGAAAGATGATCAGAAAGGCAGCCAGGTCCCTACACCAGGGTCAACACAGAGCATGCTGGCCAGGAGCCCCTCCCCCCGCGTTTCCCACGAGGCCCTCCCCCGCCCCTCTGCTTAATGCTTCTGCCTTGCCCAGTTGCTTGTTTGGAGACAGGGTCTCCCTCTGTGGTCCAGGCTGAAGTGGAGTGGCATGATCGGGGCTCACTGCAGCCTCGAACTCCTGGACTCAAGAGACCCTCCCATCTTGGCCTCCCGTGTAGCTGGGACCACAGGCATGAACCACCACACCCAGCTGAATTTTGTATTTTTAGTAGAGATGGGTTTTCACCATGTTGCCAGTCTGGTCTGGAACTCCTGACCTCAAGTGATCTGCCCGCCTTGGCCTCCCAAAGTGTTGGGATTACAGGCGTGAGCCACCGAGCCCGGCCTGAGTTTCAGATTTTTAAAACCTTTTGAGGTCTTTACACCAGCGCGTGGGCCCTTCGTATCTGGCCAGTGCCGTGTCTTATCCCACTTAGCACGGACAGTGCGGGTGACCCCCAGTCCCTGCTCTCAGCCCTTCTAAGGGCTCTGCTTAGAAGCACGTTTCCGCCGGGCGCGGTGGCTCAAGCCTGTAATCCCAGCACTTTGGGAGGCCGAGGCGGGTGGATCACGAGGTCGAGAGATCGAGACCATCCTGGTCAACATGGTGAAACCCCGTCTCTACTAAAAGTGCAAAAAATCAGCTGGGCATGGTGGCACGTGCCTGTAATCCCAGCTACTCAGGAGGCTGAGGCAGGAGAATTGCCTGAGCCCAGGAGGCGGAGGTTGCGGTGAGCCTCGATCGCGCCATTGCACTCCAGCCTGGGTAACAAGAGCGAAACTCCGTCTCAAAAAAAAAAAAAAAAAGAAGCACGTATCCACAATTCCAGTGGAGGTGTAGTGGGGTGAGAGTTGGAGGGATGAGACCCTGAAGGGAAGCTACGTGGCCCCTCAGGACGAGGCTTCCGGCGTAAGGGAAAGGGGACTCCAGAGGCTGGTCACTGGGCTGGGCACTGGGCAGACTCCAGCCCCAGGGCTTCCCGAATTAGATCTAGGGTCCCTGGGAAGCTCAGCGAGGCTCGGCCCAGCAACAGCGGCAGAAGAGAGCATGGGCTTCGGCAGGAGGGGGCTCTCAGGACGTGGCAGGCAGGCTGCCTGCTGGCCCGGGCTGCAGCCACCTGAGTTTCCACTGGGACTGGGGGGCCTGCTCCAAGGCCACCCACGTGGCTGTTGACAGGAGGCCCTGGTTCCCCGCCACAGGGGCTGTAAGGGGGATAGGTGAGTGGGGGGGCAGGGGTCCACCCTCTGTGGCCAGACAGGGTTTCCACCGAGGGGACAGTGCCCAGGTGGCCAGGCCACTGAAGACAGAAGCGGCCCCAGGTCTCCCGGGGTCCTAGGCTACTGGAGACCCCACCACTCGGGGGCCATCGCCAGGGCCAGGCCCGCCTCCCTGTTCCTCAGCTGGCTCTCCTGTTAAATGGGGAGGGAATGATGCCACGTCACAGGGTGCGGGCCTGCAATCTGGGCGGTGTGGGGCGCTCTGTGGGGAGCGGCATGCTGGGGCGCAGGCGGAGAGACAGGGTCCCCAGTGCTGCAGGTGAACCAGGTTGGGACAGGTGAAGGCCCTGAAGTCCCCTCCTGTGGGGAACTGGGGACGGCCCTGGGGTGTCAGGACTGGAGGACCCGGCTCCATGAAGACCCTGCCCCTCAGGCCCCCTCTGCACTGGGTGACACTGTCCTGTGCAGGGGCGCCCTGGGCAGGGACCCGAGGCTCAGTCCCACTTCTCTCCATGGATGATGCTGTCCTGCCTCCCCCGAGACACCCCCTCCAGGTGTCACTGCTGTGAGGGAGGAGGGGGCCCCGTGGTGGGTGCTCCGCCGCCCCGAATGCAGAGAGGGAGGCTGGTATCATTCTTGACACGAGGGCAAACACTGAACCCGCCGCTCTGAGCCGTGGCTGCCCCAGGTGCCAGGGTGCAGGAGGCCAAGTCTGTGCCCGGGAGGCCACATCCTGGTAGGGGGTCAGGCAACTCCCCCCGTGCCTCAGTTTCCCCACATCAAAGAGGGGATCCCTGACCTGGAGGGTCTAAGCCAGACCCTCCGGCCTGGCCTGTGAATTGGATCTGGCGAGGGGGGTAGGGAATTCCCGGGCACTGCCCAGGGCCCCTAATCAGCTGAGTCATCAGGCCGGGGCAGCCAGGACGGTTAGGAAGGGCCCACCCAGGCTGGGCCGGGAGACGGTGCCCATCTGATCTGTGGCGTGACCACGGGACCTGCTGATAGATGTGGGAACAGAGACTTCCTGAAGGGTGGGTAGTCACGGGGGCCTGAGCTGTCTCCACGGGGCTGCTGGGCCTTGGGCTGGGACACTTCTGAGAAACCCCAAGGACTGGGATCCCAGAGGATGAAGCAGAGAGAGTCAGGGAGGACTTTCTGGAGGAGGTGGCACTGATAGGAACACCTACCTCTCCCTCAGCCCTCGCCCTGGAACAGAGCTAGGGTGCGAAGCAGCGCCTGCATTCTGTCCTTCCCTGCTGTGCCCTGTGAGTCAGGCCAGCCACTGGGTGCCAGGGCTGTGGCGTCCACACAGGGATAAATGGAGGTGACGACCCTCCTCTGCAGGTGTGCAGGAGGAACGGCTGGGGCGGTCTGCGGTGCTCCGGACTCCTCCAGCCTCCTGCCCTGCCCAACAGCAGGTGCATGGCCACCCCTGCCCCCAACGCCCAGCAGGTCCAAGGGTCAGGCGGGCCCTCCTGCTTCTCCCTGCAGTGGCAGACACCATGGCCCTCGGGGCCTGTGGACTTCTGCTGGTCCTGGCGGTGCCCGGTGGGTGACCTGTCCTGGGTGTGGGGGTGGGGGGGGCATCTGCTTCCTGCCTGGACCCCTGGCAGGGGTGGGGGTGAAGCTGGGGGCTTGCCTGAGAGAAAGAAACACGCTGAGCCCCCACCCTGGGGTGCCCCGTGCCTCCTCGGCAGAGACTGCACCCCTGGCTGGAGGGCCAGCCATCAGTGCCCGGGGACAGAGGCAGGAAGAGGTGGGGTGGGAGCCGAAGGCGCTGGGGTGCCGGCAGTCCCAGGCCTCGGAACTCTGCTGACTTCTCCCCCAGCAGGACCTGGAGGGTGGGGACGAGGCCCACGCCTGAGGCCACGCGCCCGGCCTCCTGCTGCTGTTTATGGCCGTTGGCTGGTCCCACCCACCCCTGGGCCAGTGAGACAGTGGCTGCCCGGCCTCACCAGGCCCGGCCTCTCCGCTAAGGAATGGGCCCCATCCCAGTGTCACCCTGAGGCCTGGCGGGCACCTCGCAGGGGCCTCTGGGGCCTGCACACCCCCCCCCTCGGCAGCCCCCTCCATCCCCGGCCCTCCGTCTCTTTCCCGCAGGTGTGTCCCTCAGGGCTTTGGAGCCAGGTACGTCTCCCATAGGGGTGTGGGGGTGGGTGCAGGCGAGGCCGGGCAGAACCTCAAGGTGACCCTGTCTTTCTCCGGGGGGTCCCACCGGGGGCCAGGAGGCCATGGCGGTTTCTGCTCACATCTCTCAGTAGAGGGGGGCAGTCTCCCCCACCACTGCAGCTAGCTTGTATCTTGGGAGATGCTTTGAGGCCATGAAGACCACCCGGCCCTCCTCCAGCTTTCTCCCCACAGTGTCCGGCCGAGGCACGGGTCCCCGCTGGGGGCTCTGCTGTGCGGGAGAGCGCGGTGCCCCGCCCCCACCCCACCCCTCTCTCTAAATACCTACGTCTGTCTCCGTCCAGCTTCCTGTTCCATTCAGCCGTGTGCCACACCCCACCCAAATTCTCCAGCTCAGGCTGGCCCACACGTGGCCGGCGGCCCTCGAGCTGACTTCCTCTTACTTCTTTTTAATTTACTGAGGTGAAGTTCACAGAAGATAAAGTTACATTACCAAGGGTCCAATTCAGAGGCCCTGGGGATCCTGGACAGTGCCATGTGCCCCCAACTCCGTCTCGCTCCGAACAGCTCCACCACTCCTGAAGGAAACCCGGGGCCCACTAGGCAGCCGCCCCCAGCATCCTGGGCCTTTCCGGGGGCTCCACCATTCCCTGATCCCCTTTTAGCATCCCAGATGCCGTCGGCAGCCCCGCCACTGTCTCTGGGAGCCCTGGTTAGTTTGTGGCGCATGGTGCTTCAAAACTGTAGCCTGGGCACTGGGCACACTCATTGCTCCTGGGGTGCCATTTCTGCTGCACCCATGATGCTTCTGGGGACAGTCGGGCAGACGGGGACACCGAAGAGGAAAGTCCCCAAGAAGGCAGGGAGCTGTGGTCAGGGAAGTCTTCCTGAAGGGAGGGCGGCGGGCTTCTTGGGATCCCCACCAGCCACCCCTTCCTCCTTTGGCTCAGGATGTGGCCGGCAGCAGGTTTCAGATGCAGGAGGCCGAATCGTGGGAGGCCACGTGGCCTCGGCCGGCGCATGGCCATGGCAGGCCAGCCTCCGCCTGCGGAGGGTGCACGTGTGTGGTGGGTCCCTGCTCAGCCCCCAGTGGGTGCTCACGGCTGCCCACTGCTTCTCCGGGTGAGTGTCTGAACGTCCAGGCCTGAGTGGGGCACGGGGCGGGGCAGAGGCCTCCACTGGCTCTTGACTCACTCTGAGGCCTGGGAACTGAGCGTTTCCCATCAGTGGATGGGGAGGAGCTGACTGCCCACGCTCCGTGAGGTCTGCCCATCTTGGCTCACCTCACAGGGCAGGCAGCTCCCTCCCTCCCAGCCCAGTCTCTTCAAGTGGAGCTGAACGTGCAATCTGCCTCCCGCCC